TTGAGCACTTATTATGTGCCAGGCACTGTTCTAAGTTTAGAGGTGAACTTAGGCCATCACTACCCTATGGTGCTGACACTGCAGTGGGAGGCAACAAGTAATAAAGACACAAAGAGCTGTGCAAATGAGATCATTCTGTGCGGTGGTTTCACATGCAAGTAAAGCAGGGTGATGGAGGAGATGAGACAGACAGCGGAGGAGGGAAGTTAGGGAGGACTTCCCTGGTAAGGTGACATCTGAGCAGGGAATTGGAGGAATACAAGGAGCTAGTTCTGCAAAGATTCAAGGAAAGAGCTCTCCAGACAGCAGAAGCGGCCTGTGCAAAGGCCCTTAGGTGGGAACAAGCTTGGTTGACTGCAGGAGTGTGTTGTTGGAGGGTGGTGTGTGTGGGAGAAAAGTTGGAGACAAGGTTGGGGTACAATGGTCCCAAGAATCCCATGTCATTCCCCAGCCCACATGTCAGACATGGAGACCCTCCTGGGAGCAAAGAAAAGAAGCCCCTGCCATGGAAGAAACCAAGGCCCTGAAGGGCTGAGATGTGCCCAAGACCATTCCTGCTCCAAGTCCCCTGAGTCCTGGCTGCAAGCCTTTCCATTTGCAAGGGCGAGAACCCACAACTGTGCCCAGGGGCGGGGCAGGAATGGAGGGCAAGGCAGACTGAGGATGCCTCCTCCCAGCCTGGCCTGGCCAGTCAGCTTCGGGCTGGGTGGGGCCTGGCTCCTCAGGCCCTTGACATGCCACCACTGGCCACTCTATCTGGTCAAATATGCAAGTGGCCCTCGGGACAGCAGAGAGGAGCATAGCTAAGCAGGCCTTATCTGGGCTCCGCCCCAGCTGCCAGGGGCTGGTCCCTGGTGTCCCCTGACTCACAGGCCTGCCTGCGGCCAGGGCAGGGGTGGGAATCCAGCTCCCAGGAGCACCCGGACCAGACGGGGCAGGGCAGGAAGGGACAAGACCGACACCCCTCCGTGTGCAAGAGGCTGGGCAGGGACTGGGAGGTGACTTTTCACTTCGGTGGAATTCCATCCCCCTGAGCTCACCTCCCTTGGAGCAAGCGGCGCATTCCAGCAGGGGCCAGCCCCGTCCCAGCTGGGCCCCCATCCCCAGGGCTGCCTCTCCTGGGCTCAGTCACCACACTCTCATGAAGGGATTGCTGAGGGCTCCCACCCTCCCCCAGGCTCCCGGAGCTCCCTGGTGCACTTCTCTCTCTGTACAGTGAGGCCTCGAAAGCCTGGCCTGCCAAGTACAATATTGTCATGGAGGCTTGGAGATCCTTGGCCCTTGGCTGGGTTTCGCAGCTGCCCAGGCTTCTCTGCACTCCTGCAGGGGGATGTCTACACGCACTCACAAATGCACCCAGAAGACCCAGGTTCTCCTGGTTCTCCTCCAACCTCCCTGACTGTCCTTCCCTTCCCATAGCCCTCCTGTCCCAGTACCCATTTGCCCAGGCTGTGGCCCAGGCTCTCTCCTCCTTTTCCCCCTTTAACCCTCCCACCAGGCAATCTTACAAAGACCAGGGCTTCCATTACCACCCTGCTCCTCCACCCCAAACACACCTGACGCAGCTCCTACCTATTATGCTTCCTAAACAGCCTCCCCAGCCATGCGCCCCGAGGCCCCTGCTGGGTTTAGGCACCAACCTTGGCCACAGCCCCTTCACTCTGTTCTCCACTCTATCCCAGACAGGCCAGAAACCTGCCCAAGCACTGCCCCACCAAAGCCTCTTCTGGGCACCTCTGGCCTGAGACAAAGTCCCACTCCTTGTTCTGGCATTCAAGGCTGTGTGTTAGGATCTAGCCCCCTCTGCAGCCTCATCACTTGTCCTCCCTACCCTCGGCCACGTGGAGCCCCCACAGCATGCTTTGTTAGGACTTCATGCTTTTAAACATGCCTGTGCTGCCTGAACTGCCCTCTTCCTTCCTGATGCCTTGTCAACCTGGAGGACTCCTAAGCCTTCAAAGCCCTGCTAAGAGTTCTCTTCTTCTGCCTAGCACTCTTCAGACTTCAAGAGGAAACAAACCGCTCTTCCTCTGACCTCTTTTCTTCACTTTCTACATCACGTTTCTCCTACAGTGTGTAGCTCTGAATCACAAGTTTTGCTTCTTGGACCTGATTCTCTCACTAGACTGAGCATCTAGTCTTGAGGGCAAAAACTGGGTGTAATTTCCTTGCTGCCCAAAAGGCTGGAAAGAAATTATTCAAAGCCACAAAGATTCCACCATCCAAAGATTTCAACACAATGCTTCTGACTCTTCCCTTCCTCCCAGTTGGGGAGCCTATGATTCCACACATCACACGCTAGGATGTGAACTTCGTATTCTAGGACCCCAACCTGAGCAACCACTGATTTCAATCCAAAGTGCAAAGACCCCGAACTGCCAATAGGGGAAGCTATAATACTAAAATCACCTCGCCAAAAGATATTGGCACCTAACCATTCTGATTCGGCCTGCAGACCACACAACTGACGAGACAATGAGGGAAAGGGGGGGATGCCCCGCAGCCTCCTTGAGGTGCTGCCCCTGCCCCATGGCCCACACCCTGCTGGGCTCAGACTCGAACTGGAGACCTGCGAGGGCAGGACGCCCCTGCGGCATTGATTCTTCCTCATCTGCCAAGGGAGTCGAGGGCTCCCCTGCAGCTCTGGGGCAGCCCCTCATCAGGTCTGCAGAAGCCGCCCCCACCCTGGCCTCCCCGCTTCCCCTTCTCTCACACCAGCTGCCAACAAGCCCCAGAGCCTGTGGTCAGGTTGAGTCTTGTTTCCTCACGGCAGGAGCGAGGGAGCGGGTGATAAACACATCTGCGAGCCTTTCCGAGGCGCTCAGCCAGGAGCAGCGGCAGGCTGGCCCCTCTGCTCCCGCCGGTTCCCAAGCCCTGCCATGCGTGGGGCCCATGGCAGCCTGCTGGGAGGGGGCTTCTGGGTGGGGTCCCATGCCTTCGAGTAAATGGCGTGTTGCAAAATCCTGGGGAACCGACTGGCACCGGTCAGAACAAGGAGAGGGTCATAGTCCCAATCGACAGATGTGGAAACTGAGGTCGCAAGAGGGGCTGGAACCCACAGCAGCTGGTGGCTGTCTTTGTTCGTGCCCTTGTCGGGGCCCTTGGGGTGTCTCAAGGCAGCAAGTGAGTGTCTGGCCACTTGGGGCTAGGCCAGAAGACCACCTTGCTGTGCTCTGGCTGAGTGGTGTGTGTGGTCACTGACCTAAGTCCCACTGGTCAGCTGGCACCCTCTCTGAGCCTCCATTTCCACCCCTATATAGCACAAAGGGGCGGGACGGGTGGTGACTCAGGCCTTTCTCTGCACACACCAGGGAGTCCGCAGTCCCACCTCTTGGCTCAGGAAATACATAGTGTCTGTAGAAGTGCTTTTCTAGAAAGCCATCCTCAAGGGTCCTCCCTAACCAGAGAGCACTGGGCAGGTAGGGGGATGTATGGCCCTCCACTGGGCTTTCCTGAGCTGGGAGGGCTGTTCCTGCTCAGAAACATCAGGTCAGGCCTGGCCTGCACTCCACCTACACCCAGCTCCTGACCCTACTCAAGGTAGCCCTCTGCCTCCCAAGGGTCTATGACTTCTGCCCCTCTCCTGCCCCAGAACCATCAGTGGCTCACCAGCAACTACAAGGCACTCATCCGTTCACTCCATACATATTTGTAGAGTGCGTACTGTGTGCCACGCTCTGGAGTGCTGCTGTGAGACACCCCAGGCCTCTGTCCTCAGTATGCTTACAGTCTAGAGAGGGGAGAAAGCCACAGAACAAGGCAACCTTGGAGAAAAGGCTAAGAAGGAATGGGAAGGGAAGCCTCTCTGGAGAGAGGACATCATGGCTGAAACCTGAAGGACAAGGACATGACAGCCATAAGCAGATCTAGGTGCAGAACACAAGGCTTCGGCCCCATCCTGCAGGGGTTCCCTTGTCAGGGGCTCACAGACTGGTCAGTGTGGTCCCGAACTGGCCCCCTGCCCCTACCTCTGGGCCTGCGTCCATTCCTCCCCAGCTCACCAGATCTTGGCTGCTTCCACCTCCTTTCCCTGCCTAGCCAAACCTCACTCATTTCTTGGGGCCTGTCTCCTCCAGGAAGCCCACTGAGATTGGTCTTACAGCCTCTGACAGTTCCCAGTGTCTGTGTCGCCCATGGGCTCATGGCAGCACGACAGAGCAACAGCCACAAGCCTCACACCCAGTGGAGCTGTGTGGCTCACAGAACACACTCCCGCGGGATCCACCCTGACCCTGACTTGCTGCGGGTCACGTGCTATTCTCTCCTTTAATTCTCACCATGGCCCAGTCAGGGAGCTGTGGGTGAGGAAACCGAGGCTGGGAGAGGGAAGCCATGTGTCCTCCTCCTGTCTGCCTTGAGGAAGTGAGGGCTTCAAGGCAGGAGAGAGCCTGGGACCTGGGATCTGCAGGGTGATCTGACCACAAAATCAGGGAGGAGGGAGCAGCTGGGACCCCTGCAGGGATGTGCCACCCTGGGCAGGAGCTCCCAGCCATGGGACTAGACAGGCAGGGCCTCGTAATTTCCCCCAGGACATTGTCCTGGGGTAGACCAGGTGAGCAATTCCCCTGTGTGACTCACCAAGGCCACCTGGGAGGCTCTGACACACAGGATGTGGCCAGAAGCCTGAGAAGAGGGAGAAAGGGAAGGAGGGAGAGAAAAAAGCAGGGAGGGAGGCAGGAAGGGAGCAAGGGAGCAAGGGAGAAAGACTAATTTGGCTCCTCCCGAGGATAAGAGTCCACATCTGTCCCTCTTTCCACCTTGCTGAGTAACATCCAATTCGTCTTAAGGGAGACTCAGTTATCCAACCTCTCTAATAGCTGACAAGCTTTGTGCCATACACAAATCCTAACCAGCCACAAGCTGATGCCAACGCCAAGCAGAGTGAGGCTGAGGGCAGAGCCCTGTGGCTCCTCACCAGACACCCAGCACCAGACGTTACGAACAAGTCATTTCGCAGTGTCTCCGCGAGCGCCGCCCAGCTGCCCTCCCTGGCTGCCTACCTTTCGGCCTGCCTCGTTATTGTGCAAGTTCATGAGAGTCCGGGCATTCTGCTTGATCTCCCGGGCATCCACAAAGACCTTGGCGAAGCCGATGCCGTAGCGGATGTCGGCGGAGCAGCCACCCCACTTCCAGCCCTCGTCCCGGTGGTACTGGCCTTGCTTCTCTTTGTCGCAGCCACAGTCGCTTAGGTTGCCCTGGGTACAGGCAGCTGTGATGGCATGGGCCACGCCGGCAGCAATGATGGCGTAGGTGAATGCAGCCTCCCGGCTCCCTGCGAGGAGGAGAGGAGACAAGTTGGGGACAGGTCCCAGGCACTTGAGAGGAGCCTGGGCCTGACTAAGGAGTGAGGCTGAGCTCAATGCAATGGCTCTCCAAAGCTCGACTGTGTACCCGTTCCTAACTTGCAACAAAGCTCCCTCTTAGGGTGATGAGCTGAGCAACTGCCATTACGCACACATCCATTCAACCCCAGAACCTGGGGAGTCAACTGGGCAATAAAGGAAGAATGTATGTGGGCTGGCTGCCCAGGATCTGGAAAGCCAGATGGGGGGGACCCCTCTAGCCCATCAGTTCCCACTCCCCACTCCCAAGCACCCTTGACCTAACCATGTAACCTGCACACGTGCATAAAGCTCACAGCATCGTAAAGCAGCATTTCCCCAACACCCACGGAGGGCACTGGTTCTGGGGCCAGAAGGCCTGAGTTTAAATCCCAGGAACATCAATCCCTGGCTCTGTGACTATTGGTCAAGGACTACCCTTCCCTGCGCCTCAGTCTCTCTGGCTGTAAAATGGAGACATATCATTGGTAACTTTCTCATGGCAATGAGGGAGAACAAGAGTTTGTCCATGGAAAGCTCTTGGCCCCATGTTTCGTTTATGGAACCTGCCTGCACCCTACCTCTTGTTTTCGTGGCAACTATTACTCCTTCTGTGTGTCACCTGCTATTTCAGATGTCCATCCCTTCCCTTCTTCTGTGTCCCCCTCACTGGACTGTATCTCCAGGGGAGGGGCAGGGTCCTGAGCAGCTGGGGTGCAGGAGACAGCGTGGGACGGGCAGTCACTCAGAGCTGGTGTGAATATGGTGCTGCCACCTAGCCTCTTAGCCTCTCTGGACCTCAGTCTCCTCACCTGCAAAATGGGTTCAAGGGCTATGTCTACTTTACAGGGTGAAGACTGACCAAAGCAACCTACGGGAAGCCCTGTGTGTGGGATAAGTCCTGAGGAGCACTGGGCAAGTTCGCTCTCATGTAGCCTGGGTGGGTTTCAGGAAAGGCACCTGGAAGAAGAGGCCCCGGAGCCCGGAGCAGGCAAAGGGGGGCCAGAGAAGGTGTTTCAGAATGCCAGGATGGAGATGGCTTAAGCAGTGAGTGAGGAGGTGGATGATTTGCTCCAAGTTGCTTCTAGCCTCAGGTCACTCTGTCCCATGCTCAGGGAGGTCCTTTCCCCACCCACCTTCCCATTCGCCTTGGAACCTCCCTCCCCAGGAGGGAGACAGACACAAACAACTTGTCCGCTGCCCCATCGCTGCCCTCCCACCCCGCAGAAAGTAGGCCTGTCCACCTGCTGAACTGGACAGCTTCCCCATGCCAGGGCTGGCTTTGCCGTGGCGTGCCATGCCAGCCCACCCATGGCGTCCCTGCTAACTGAGTGCCATTTCACAATGTCCTGAAGGTCACAACAGAGAGGCAAAAAACAATGTCCTGAAGGTCACAACGGAGAGGCAAAAAAAAAAAAAAAAAAAAAACACAGAGGCTCATCCAGTGTCTGTCTGCCCAGCCAAATTTCAGGTTTACAAGATGACAAGGACCATGTCTGTCACTCCCACTGTCTCCAACACCCTCCAAAATGTGTGAGGGGTGAGACAGACCTGAGTCCCAATTTCAACCCCGCCAAAAGCTGTGTGACCTCGGGCAAGTCACTTAACCTCTCTGAGCCTCCATTTCCTCATCTGTTATTAGCAACTACCCTGTAGGAAGAGGTAGACATCACCTGGCACCTAGCAGGTACTTAAACAAACAGTAGTGAGCATTATAATTATAATAATTGATGAAATTATAGGTGCCACTGGGTGGTACAGAGAAGAACTTGCCCTGCCTCTGTTTTATCCATGGCCTTTATTGCTCCCTGCCATTTTAGACTTAGCTGCTGATTTTCTGTTCCCCGTACCAGCCCTACCACCATAATCAACTCTTGTCAAACTGCACTTCTAAAACGAGATGGCATTCAGTTGTTATCAGTTAAAACTTATCAATAAATAATTTATCAAAACCATTCAAATTGGATGGCTTGCTGAGCTGAGAACAGGGTTTGATGGTAGAAAGAAAGCAGAAAAAGCTTCTGGAATCTTAAAATAAATCTCAGATTCCATCCATGTCTGCCTCCTTTACTCATCCCAGGTAAGGTGGGGAAACTGAGGCTTGGGGAGATGAGGTGACTTGCCCAGGAAGAGTTAGGATGCAAACCTGGAGGTCACCTGCTGTGCCTAACCACTCCAGGGAACTCCCTTGGACCCTGGTCACCCTCACTGCTCCGAGAACCGCCCTTTTCTCATCTGTCTGGGGAAGCCCCTTCATTCAGGTGGGTAATTTCCCGAATGCCATCTCATTTCTCTTAGGAGATACCTGCAAGGGTGGTCTGTTCTACTGCTGTGGAAATGGGATGAGATCATATGCCCAATGGCATATAGTCCATAAAAAGCTGAGCAAAGACATACAAAATGTTTCTTATTCACCAGGCTCTATTCTAAGCACTGAATATAGATCCACAATATATGGCAACAACGCATGAGGTGGGGGCTGCTATTATCTGCATTTTACAGATGCAGAAACTGAGGCCCATGTGATACAACCTGTAAGGATTCAAACTTGGACAGCTGGCCCCAGAGTTTGACCCACTCCCATGCCTCAAGGTCTTGAGAACCATTCCAGTCCTACTGACTCCAGGCCTACATTCTTGCCCAGATCATCCATGTGGAGCCTGTGAGTGAACCCTGGGCTTGGCCACCATGGCCTGTGTGCCTTCCAGGATCAGATCCTCCATCCCGGCAGTGGGGACAGCCTGCTGTGAAAGGCCTGCCTCTCCGTCCTGCCCAGGAGCAGAGGAAGAACCTCCCTCAAATCCTGCCCTCCCCTCCACCTCCTTGACCAAGCCATCTATTCCTTCATTCATCAGATATTTCTTGAGCATCTACTATGTGCCAGGCACTGTTCTAGGACATGAGGAAAGTCAGATGAGGAGTTTAGACATGGCTTTGCCTTCGTAGAAGGACAGGCAGCAGGATAATGCCACTCCGTGGCAGTTGAGGACTTTGAAGGAGGTGACACAGGGCAGTGATGGGAGTGGGGGACATCGGGGGTGGTGACTTGAGCGGAGAGGTCAGGGGGCTCTCTAGGGGCAGAGAAGGCATCAGGCCAAGTGGTAGCCTGAGTGATGGCACTGACGTGGTGTGGTCAGCTAGTGGCAGGAGCCGGTGAGCCAGGTTGGCACCGGAGGAGGTGAGGCTGAGGGCAGGTACGGATTCTGCCAGCCCTTCCTCTCCCCAGAATCAGAGAAAAGATTCCTAGAGCCACAGAAACAAAGCCAGGGGGCTCCTACTGGAATGATAGCTTCAAGGAGGATGGAAGACTTGCTCAAGGTCACCAGTGACTCAGCAAGACCAGAAGATCCCCCGGGCTCCCTCACCTCCCCCATGCCCTCCTTACCTTTCAATCCACCCACATCTCCCAAGTAAAGTTTTCATCCAGAAGCCCAGAGACCTTCCCTCCTGGGATATCCCAGGTGACTTCAGCTCAGAACTCAGGTAAGATGGAACCTGTCAGTTCCTCCTGTGTACTTCTCATTCACTGGGGGAGCCCCAAGCAAGGACTCTGCCTCTCTGAGTCTCAGCTTCCCCATCTGTGAAGTGGGAACCCTTAGGAGGACATCGCCAAGTCCTGAAAATTAAATGAGACCTCTGTGGAATGAAGCCTCTGTGGAGCTCCCAGAAGGTGCTTGATAAAGAACGATACGTATTATCACTGAGATGAAAATGGGGAGCCCAGCTGACGCCCTCTGTGGTTCCAGCTCCATAATGATCCCGGCGGGTACAGAGGAAATAAACTGATGTCCAAGCCTGCCCAAAAGATTCCATTCCACCGCCCTGTGCAGCCACTGTAAATGGTTTGCACCGGAATATTATCTGGGTGTATTTACGGTATCTTACTGGAAACCACAAAGTGCATTGTATTTTTTTTTTCTTTTGCTATTTAAAGCCAATGGGTCAGAGAGCAAGCAATCTGCAGTGACACAAGCTGAAATATATGATTTGGAAAATATACAGATGGAAAAAGGTTGCACTTGCCAGCCCCATGGCATGGCAGTTCATAGCCCCTCTGGGCTCAGAATGCCACATGGGGCTGTCTCATCAAGAGGAACCAGGGAGCCTCACAATGAATAACTGGAAGATTTGGGGGTGCAGGGAGCTGTGTCTGGGCTGAGCTTGGTAAGGTAACAGGCCCACAGCTAGGGAAACTGGGGAGGGGTGTGTGCAAGCCCCAGCCTCTGTCTTTCTCCATCCAAGGGTCTCTCTCCCTACTGAGCAAGGCCAGAGCACGCTGCTGACCACTTGCCAACGGTCAGCATCTGCTCCTTCCTGGCTTCATGGCTTTGCACATGCTGTTCCCTCAGCCTGCAATTGTCTTCCTTGTTCCATCTGCCTGCTAAGGGGCAGGGAATGTAGCGCAGGAGGTTTTAAAGCAGAGCCCTGGAGGTGGATAAATCTGGGTTTATGTCCTGGCTCCCTTTTCCTGGCAGTGGGACCTTGAGTGAGTTAACTCACCTCTCAAGGCCTCAGTTTCCTCATTTGTAAAGTGGGAATAACAAAATATCTACCTCCCAGGGTTGTTGGGAGGATTAAATAATCAAATGCACATGACAAGCTCAGCCTGCACTTGGTAAGGGACCAATAAACAATAGCTCTTACTAGATGCATTATTGGTTAGCACCATATCCATCAAGCCATGGCTCCAAAGTTCCCTACTCTGAGGTGCCTCCCAAATGTCCCTTCCCTCCACTTGTGGCCCAGCACCCTGTCCATCCTTATTTTGGATTGAATTGAATGATCAGTCTCTCGCCGCTAGGCTGTGGGGGCCTGGATTATTTATCTGTGAAGCCTCAACAGTTGAATGAATGAATGTGCATGTGAAAGCAAGTGTGTGTGTGTGTGTGTGTGTGTGTGTGTCTGCATGTTGCATGCGCACGCACGCCTGCCTGCCTGCCTGTCTACCATA